TACCGCCTTGTCTATTATGAGGACCTAGCCAAAGTAAAAAGGTACATATTTTTAATTTAAAATCTTAAAAAGACTTATTAAAGTACTTTATATCATGATGCCGCAACTCTAAGGGCATTAAAATTTTGAATTTAATATTGGCAGTATTAAATTCAGCCATTTTATTTGTTATTAGATCAGTATTATCAAATATATTTATTATTAAGTTTTTATTTTTGAATTTTTATACAATTCTAAAAATATATTTTTAGTTATTTTAAAATTTTAAAAATTCAAAGGCTTCTCCCAAATTAGTTGAAGCACTAAATTGCTTCATTTCTCAGATGAAACCAAAGCACGTTTCGAAGTGAATCTCACAACATTGGTGTATAATCTAAGTCGAGGTTCAAATTGAAAGATACCTTCAGGGTATGCGAATATTATGTGTTTGCCTATTTGTTTTCATATTATTTTGAATTGGTGGAGGAAATGTTAATATTTTAGTATTATAAAATACCATAATATATTTCAAAATAATACACCACCTTGTATTATTTTCCTATGTTTTTAAATAAATAGATAAAAGAGTGGGTTTTAGTCCCACATTGAAGAACAAAATGTGAAAAGAGGGTACTGATACATCAACACTCTCATGCCTTATATTCATGGAATAAAAGAGAGTGTGAGCACTTATGCAGAGCATATTGAGTGTGTGACATGTATGCCCATGTGCAAACGCACGCACACATACGTGTGTGAGGATACAAGGTGGTGCTTGATGATGCACTTTGCACTTCACATGTTCCCATCAACGCGAAGGCACATTTAGCCCGTGCACAAGTTCGCCGGTGCACAAGTTTGGGTGGATCTCACAGCTAGCCCCATTTTTACGAGACATGACCCAAATTTGTAGCCCTGCATGGGATGACTTTACGAGACATGACCCAGATTTGTAGCCCTGCATGGGATGACTTTACGAGACATGACCCAGATTTGTAGCCCTACATGGGATGAGCACCGGTTCATCCAATGGCTATGAAACTAGTCGTTGCATCAATGGGTGTGTGCATCGTGCTTATTCCTGATTTCAATAGATAATAATCGTTGGGTTGTGACTCTTGGAAACCCAACATTCACGCGACATTGTGAACAGTCACATTAACAACCACTTCTAAATATCACTTCATACTCTATTAAATGGCTTTTTACTAACAAATTTTTTATATTTTTGCGAACTTGATTTTTTTTCTTTCCCAACAATTATTTACTGTTTTTTTTTTCTCTACAATCAAAATTGCACCCACTCTAAAATTCTAGAAACTCTTGTGGTTAGTAGACTTGTCTATATCGTACAAAAATAAATACAAAAATAAACAAATATTTTGAGGGAGTCTCTGTTTCAAATATCCCGATAGCTGATTTGCCCAAATCACATTTTAAATATTCTTTTATCTTTTTGATAATTACATATTCCAAACCCTTGTTTCACCCACCTTAAATTTCTAACAAAAAGCATGTTCTGTTGCCAGTAATAAACAATTGTGACAAAAAGGAGCTGCCTTTTACGATCTAATATCATGGCACCATTAGTTCGTTTTCATATGACAATAGAAATTCTCCTTACATTTTCAAGGAGTTTGCACTTAAACCAATTTCATGCACATTTCTATTGAATTTAGCTATTATCATAAGGCCTTGGTTATGTTAGAACTCTGAATGAACTTTAGCCATTTAATGTTTCCTTAAAATATCAAAAATAACGATTTCCTCAAAATATATAAAACAAAGTAAAATTTGGTGCATCGACGGACTCATGCATCTACCCTAGTTTCCGGAGTACCTAGGATCCGAAACACATCCTAAATCAATATAATTCTACATCCACCTCAGAACCATGAATTTAAAGATTCAAAAGCACTCCAAATTTCACAAACTATGAAGAATCAGAGAGAGTGTTAAAAATAAAAAAGTAAAAAATAAAAAAATAATAATAATTGATCAATATTCAAAGTTTAAAATATAATCATTTTTCTTCCATATTCATGACCATAGTGGTTAAGGGTGGCAATGGGCTAGGTCGTCGGGCCCAACACGATCGGGTAGGGCTGGCCAGGGCCTCTGATATATATAAAGAGCCGAGGCTCTAACAATCAAAGTAGAGTGCACCTTCAAATAGTTTCGAGAAACATTGTTTCAATACTAGAACTCTTTGTGATAGCCTTAAAATATATTTTCATCTCTAATTAAAAATTTAAAGCTCCAAAAAATAGTGTAAATCGAACAAATCTATAAAAACTTGAAAATCTTGAAAATTGACATTCTAAAAATGCATTACAAGATGCATCATTTTCAAAACTTGAAATCCTTTTTTTTTTTTCTGATGTCCATGCATCTTGATGTCAAGATGATCAATTAGAGTATATTTAGGCATCAAAACAACCTCTTCTAGTGAAATACAATGAGAGGTTGAGTTTTACTCTTAATGATTCTATCAGCCTAGATGATGTAAAGCTTACATTGGGGTATTGTACTACAAAACATCTTCCTTGGACTTACTATGAGAATCGGTCATTCTCTAGAATGATCATAAAAACAAGGAATGAGGCAGAGCATTTAAATGTGCAAGCCTTCTAAAACACTACAGCTCTTGGAAGAGAATGTACTGTATATGAGTGAGGTTTATCGATAAAGTACATATTAAGGTGTGTCTCATTGTTCTTGTAAGCATTTTACTATGTGAAGGCTCAAGTCTATAGGATACCTTCACTTATATATTCATCCTTCCGATATATTCAAACAGAGTAGTTGTTTTAAAATAAATGGGGGGTTGTTAGCATTTTTTTTTTGTTTAATTAGCTTTCAAACAAGGAAAGAGTTTATATAAAGTTGCAACCTTAAATGTAGAATTACAGATGCACCTCAAAAATCCATCGAAAATGGTTGTTTTAATGTTGAATAACCCTCTAATTGATCATCTCGACAACGAGATATATGAATATAAAAAAAAAAAGATTTTGAGTCTTATAAGTAGTGCATCTTGCAACACATTATCTAGATTGTCCATTTTCAAGATTTTCATATGTTTATATACCTACTTGATTTTATCATTTTTGGAGTTCAAAATTTTATAATTAGATATGAAAATAGATCTTGATATAATCCTAAGATTTTTTTACACCAAAATTACATGTTATAATAAAATTTAGAGGTACACCTTAATTGGATTGTTTAAGATTGCAACCTTATGGATTGTTTACACCAAAATTACATGTTATAATAAAATTTAGAGGTACGCCTTAATTGGATTGTTTAATATTTCAACCTTAAGATTGAAAGTTATTTGCCCAACAACTTGGCCTTTTGTGGTCCTTGAAGACCATCATCTTTTTCTCTCTTATCTTCTTGCACTCCTTATCTTTCACCGCGATTAACCACTGCCGTGAAATGGTCTTTCCCCAATTTACCTTTCTTGTGGGACCTGCCCTCTTTATATATTATATCAATTAATAGATGTTTTATTGCTCCTGGCTGATGTGACTTCTTACCCAATAATTTTTTGTTTTATATCATTTGATTGTCACTCTTAAAAGTTCTGTCTCCTTCCTCTCTTGAAGCAGCAGCGAAGAGAGAGAGGAACAGTGGGTTTATACATAGGGGTGTTGGGTTGAAGAAATCATCCCCCTCTAGAGTTCCCTCTCCATTCAGTATGGAGAGTATATGGGATTATGTTTATACAAAGAGAATGAGCAATTAGAGAAAATCAAGAGTTATTTCTTGCATCATTTATTGATTGATACAAATTTATTTTGCATCATTTATTGATTGATACAAATTTATTTGGATCTTGTCATGTATCATGGTTGATACAAGAAAAAATATTTCTACAATTTATACCTAATTAGGGATTGCTTCGCGTGAAAATATTTTATGTCCCGTGAAATGTTCACTAGAAAACAGTTTCACATGAAAAAATTCTCATGTAGTTAAGCATGGTAATATTTTTACATCAATGTCAATTGATGTGAAAAGATACATTAAAATCAACTGGTATGAAATATTCTCAATCAATGTTTCTCAAGCGTAATTACCGATTGGATGATTTTTTAGAGTGAAGGTTAAGTAATGCTGATTTTTTTATTTCCGATCAATGTCCAATGTTAATATACCAATTAAAACATATATCAATATTTTTGTTGTGGTTTTATACGCATCTATCGAGTATATACAACTCAATGACTCATAAATATTATTTTCAATTTTAACTGTATCTTGAAGTACACTCACCATACTCGTTTGCTCGTGGCAAACGAGTCCTCTTGTCCCGGTTGATCCCCTAATTTTAGTTTCCCAGACTACTAAATATCAGGATCCATTGACCCTCTAGTAAACTTTTACAAGCTTGAGTTAGGTTTTCGCCATAGTAAATATTATTTTGAAAGGAAAAGAGCCCGGGCTCAATTTGATAGCGCTCAATTTGATAGCATTTGACAATTTGCAACGCTATGTCTTAAGCTCAATTCCTATCAAGCGTCGGGGCCCTCCCACAAACTCACCCAAAGGAATATTATTTTGACCGCCGTGGGGCCCAATTATATGGGTGTTAATACCACGCGGCAAAAGCATCCCAGGCGGTGAGAATCTTGCCAACATTAGTCAACTGCAGTTAGACCTTCAAACTCACTGCAGTGAAACCCCCAATAACCATCATCTTTCACACGCGCGCACAAATGTTTCTATTGAACACTAGGAAACACTCGTCATCTGAAAATGAAGACGAGCAGAGAAGCCCCAAAAAATTTCCTGTCTCCCTTTGGTAGCAAATCTGTTGTGCTCCAAATTAATTATGAGAACTGTACTTACTGAAATTTGCAAAAAAAAGAAAAGAAAAAAAAAAAAAAATTCATTATGAACTTCAAAAGAGAACGTAACAGAGAAAAACTAAAAAGAAAGAGAAGGTGAACGAAATGATCAATCATATGTCTAGAGGTGGTAGCCCCCCCTCCCCCCCCCACCCCCACCCCCACCCCTCAAACTTTCGGAAATAAGGTCACAATGGCAAGAAGGCAATTTACCTTCTCTTTGCCATGATACATTTGATCACATCCAATATCCTGAAGTAATCAAAGAACAGTGAAGAGTGCTTCCCCTCGAGGCCATCCCTGGTCACCCTGTTACAACCTGAGAGGTTGTTGCATGGGCTCCCTCCAATAACCAGATCAAAACCACCGAAACTAGAAACCAAATGCTGTAACTTATCATTTGTTAGTTGCTTGACATCTTCTATCTCTAACAGCACCCCCTTCTGATTTGTTTGAGCCCACCAATTCCTAAAAATGGTTCGGCTCACTTCTGATATCTCAACTGAAACCACAGCCTTAAAAGGTATCCCAAGCCTATATAGGGCCACTTCAGCCCCGCCTATACCAGTAAAGAGGGAGAAAACAGTGAGGCCACTAGGAAAGAGGGGCTTCAAAACTGAAAGATGGTAAGCTACGGTGTCCACCTGAAATGAGTTACCTAAAGCCCTCAATCTCTCAGTTCGACTACTGCCCCCTCCTCGAGTGTGATATTTGGGAAAACCCAAGATGGGTTCTATCTCATCGGGCTCCAATGGAGCTACCTTATTCAAACCAACCCATACAAGGTTCCACTTTTTGCATTGCTCCATCACATACTTTTGGGTCTCGAAAGATGGTTCCCCATTACAAGAAACCAATGCTTTCCTAATTCTCTCTGTGAGTTGTGCACTCCCCGTACATCCAAGAATGCAGTTCAGTTTGGTCCTTGTGTCCCAAGAGGGCCACCATTCCTTTGTGAATGGTAGGGCCTCTTGTATGGTCAAGGGGGGAATAGGTAGGAGAGGGGAACGCTTCTCTATGGGGAGGTTGTGGATATAACCTCGCTTTCTCCTAGCAACTGAAAAGTATTTCGAGTCCACAAACTCAGGTTCGATGTCGTACAGAAAGCGAGAGAAGGTTTCCCACGTTCCTTTCTTGCTTATCGCTACATTCTCAAAGTAGAAGTAAGGGGGGCCCATGGCTGTCTCAGGAATAAAACGGGAAGTGACTATGTCAGGCATAGATGGAATGCCAAAACCAAGCATCTTTGGCTCAGTTACTCCAGCTCTCCTTAGAACAGAGGCATTATTCCAATTGCTGCCAATCCAATTGGGCTCGCCTGTCCATTCCCACTCCTTTTTATGGGTGCCTATGGGTTTCTCAACCCACTTCTTCCTCTCAATGGAATTGGGCTGTTTGGTCCTTTTCTTTTTCCCATGAGATAGCTCATCCCACTTCCTTTTCTTTTCATGGAAGGGTCGTTTTCCCCAGTTCTGATTTTCAGGACTCGGAGGAAGAATAGAGTAGTAGTCAGATGGCTCAGTCTCAAACTGATGACAAAAAGAAGACACAAATTTTAAGACCAATCCAAGTAGACTTGTAGTTTACAAGATGAAAAAATGTATTGAATTTATCATATAAAGATTGCTGATGAGAAAGAAAATTATACAAATTGCTGGAACTCAGATTGGGTACCTCATCATCGTATGAAGACTCTGAACTGCTCAGCCTTAATGCCTCAGAATCTTCAATGCCTGCTGCCTTGGCAGTTTGAGCAGCATAAATAGAATCTGCAAGCTCAGGAATTGACGCATTTGGACCTGGAAAGAATTTACTTAATTTTAACATCACAAATTGAATCTAATAGAACACTCAATTGAACTTTATATTCTAGAAAACAACCTCAAAACAACAAAGTACACACCGCATCTGTCCATGGCAGAAATAACATCATCTTCAGGGAAACCCATGTCCACCAACTGACGTCGTAGTTTATCTTGATCAGTATCTGGATTCTCTGATTCCTAAAACATTGTAATGATTAGACCACGACATTTCAAAACCTGAAGGAACTACGCACTGGAGTTTAAAAAAACAGTATCATTATGCAACTTCATTAGATCGCATACTGTAAGACTATTTACTTTTAGTACAACGAGGTCGTAATTACTCTAAGCCATTGGATGTGAATCATACATATTAAAGTGTGATACAAAATTCGAGAAATTTTATTTGGGGCTCTGTGCCCATTCAATAATACATCCTTATCCCCTCGATTTCAAATCTAATGGTCAATAACAATTGTGACTTATTGTACCAACAGTAAAAAGTCTCATTGTATATATTTCCTGAAGTATAAGCTTGTATAAGCTTACATCAGCAGCTCCAAGAACTGACTAGTTCAATATTTCTGGGAGAGTACAGCTTCAGAACACTAAGAAAAAATATTTATTATGTATGGCCCGCATACAAGTGGATCTCAGTTACACAGCAGGCTGAGCATTGCATTAATTAATGAACTGTGATTCAAGACTTTGTCAGCTTGCAAAGTACTATAATCCCACATGATTCGTAATACCAACTACAAGCACAAAAAACTTTAAGGAAAACATATAGAAAGCCAACTAATCATACAACCTCTCCCTTCGCCATGGGCATATAGCCTCAGTCCGTAATGTAATTTCCTTGTACACCTCAAATGTTTTATGATTTCCATTTGTCCTCCCAATGCCATCCCAACTTACAACAATAGATACAAATTGAAAAATGAAATGCAGAAAAATCTTCCAAATCAATTCATTCAATTTACCAGGTGTGTAGAGACAATTTTGTGATTTACCATCGGTAGAGCAGCCATCACAATATCTAAGAAATTTACCAAATGTCACCATCAACCACAGCCCCAAAAAAAATGAATTGCCATGTTGTCCAAGAAGAAAAATAGTAAGCAAGACCAAACATGAAACATCACACAAGGTTTCAGAATAAACCAGATAGTAATTGAAATCAAGAATAATGGGATAGAAAAGGAAACAAAAGACCAGATTGTAACCATCTGATTCAGCAAATTGCCAGAGTAAAGTGCATGTCATATATCCTAATTTCATCGAGCTTCGAGTATACTGCAGCATATTCCTCATTACAGGAAATTTCATTCGTCACAATGAACCAAGAGTGCATAAATGCTTTACTCTTTGAAACTCAATACTGTTGGATGAATGTTCTTCCCACAGAGATTGTTCGAAACATAATTATTTGTTTTGCCATGCTAAATTCATTTAGGGATCATAGTTTCAGTTACAATAACAAATAAATCCCCCTCATCATTTCTATAATAACAAATATATCCTCCTCATCAATGACAAAATATTTGAAGGGCCAGGACCTGCTGTGCTAGAGCACTCTTTCTAAACCAAAAACCCACCTTTATACGAATGTAAGCATATGTAAAAGACTAAAAGACATGCTCAAGATGACATTCAAATTTTTTAATACATGCATGCAAGAGTATACAAGCACACACACACAGAAAACAGACAAATTTCTTAGCTTTGTTCACAAATAAATCCTTAATATACACATGCCTTCTTAATCAGAAAATTAAACCGGCAAACAGAATTACTACCTCATTCTCAGAGCTGTCTGCTTCCCAGAGGTCAGATACCAAATCAGTTCCTTCACTTTCTGAATCAGATGGATTCGTAGCAAAAGGCTCACGAGGTGGAGAAGAGTCCTGAATGGCCTACCAGATATACCATGATGTGAATGACCAAAAAACAACGTTCATTAAACAAGAAATATACTTAACAAAAACAGTAATAAAGCATCAAGCTAGCAGACCCCTCATCAAATGATGTCCCAGTTCACAGATTGCATTACCTAAAAGAAATGCAAGATAACTAATAAATAATGTTCTGAATTGATCTTCTTCTACTGCTCAATAGTAAAAATGCAAAAGCCATCACACAAATGACTCGCGTGCATTTCATGATACCGCCAAAGGACCCAACCAATTCTAATCCACGCATTGAACTTCAAGGTAGTAGTAAGCAACTGGATCAGAGACAGCAGATGCAACCAGTAAAAAAAGTATGCCGTGGTGCCACAATTGCTTTGAAGTCTAAGGAACTGTTTGATTCTCAAATTTGGAAATTTGCAATTAATTTTCAAATTGCAATTTACCTAATTATGGTCTGGGAGATTCTTATTTGTTGTGTGGGGATCTTTGATTGTTCCTTGTTAAACTGCTTTTGGGTATTTTTCAAATCAAACAATCTGTTTGACTGATACTTTCCAAATAGCAATTAGGCATCTTCCAACCCTACCAACAAAACAAATAGGCCAAATATCTGCAAACTCGAGCCAAACCTTGAAAATTCTGACCTCAAAAACACTGCAACCAACAAAGTGCCTGCTGGGGGGGGGTGGGGGAGTGAAGAGGAGAGAGAGTCCACAGAGTGCAGAGAGAGAGAGTCCACAGACTGCAGAGAGAGAGAGAGTCCACAGAGTGGAGAGGAAGAGAGAGAGAGAGGGGGGAAGAGAAAACCTGTTCAGTCAAAATCGATGCAACCTGTACAATCAACCTTTGGGTACAAAAACCTATAAATCAACATAAGAAACGCTAAATGACCACACGTCCAGAGATAGTCAAGTTTCGAACCCATTAAAGGCCTAAACTCAAGACCTCAGTCATAATCTATCAAGGGAACATAAGAACTCGGTCAAAAGTCGATTTTGACCATGCTGAGATGGTCTCCATGAAGAATGCCTTGAAATCAGCATGAAGTGGGACCAAAATGATCAAGGAACCAAAAGGTTGAGTTTCAAACCCTCCTAAGCCCTGTACCTTCAAGGCCCCAATTGAGAACCAACTGAAAACACTCTCATTTCCCCCCACATCGGCACCTTTTCTGTCACAGTACTCCTCTCCAGGAACTCATACGGCTCCACTGGAAGTTCTTAGCCATATACGGCCCCAATGATGCAGCCTCTAGAACCCTCCTTTGGGACAAACTTGACCAAGTGGCCGCCCTCCCCCACCCCTCCTTGTGCCTAGGTGGAGACTTCAACATCACCCGTTTGTCATTTGAGAGGAACTCCAGCTCTAACATCTCCCCTGGGATGCTAGATTTCTCGGACTTCATCTTGAGGAACGAACTTATCGACATCCCCCTTCAGGGGACCTCTTCACCTGGTCGGACCACTCCTCCCAACCTTCCCTTTCAAAACTTGATTGCTTCCACTTCTCGACCGGCTGGGACAATGTTTTCCCGGGCTCCCATGCCTCGGCTTTGCCCAAACAACCCTCGAACCACTGCCCATCCTCCTAGATATTATTTCCATCCCTAGAGGGCCTAAGCCTTTACGCTTTGAGCTCTCGCATGGTTGGAAGAACCGGCCTTATCCTCTCTCCTTCCTTGATGGTGGTTTTCCTTCGCCCGTCTTGTCTTGGGCAGAGCAAGATACATACTACAATTTAAACTTCAGCTTCTCAAAAACTCTCTCAAATACTGAAGCATAACCATCCCCGGGAATTTCCCTCACCTCAAAGCTTCTCACCTTTCCTTGGTCCAATCCCAGGACCGAGTTGAGGAATCTCAACCTCGGTCCGACTCCAAAACCCATGGCAGAACCCTCCACAAACTCGAATATTTTTCCACTCTGAAAAAAGAAGAGATCTTCTAGTTCCAGCGCTCCAGAGTGAAGTGGCTGGAATCCAAAGATCTCAATACCAAGTTCTTCCATAGGATTGCCAACTGTCGACAAAGAGAACTCCATCTCTACCATCAAGATAGCTGACACATCTTTAGACCACCCCCAGAAGTTGAAGCAACTATTCAATCCTTCTTCCAATCCCTCTATACAGCCCCCACAGGTCCTAAACCCAGGATGGCGGACCTCCCTTTTCTCACCGTTCCTGGACACCTAGCCACCTAGCTTGAACGTCCATTCTCACAATCTGAAATTCTAGCCGCTCTGTTAGATTTAGGGCAAGATAAAGCACCTAGACTTGACGAGTTCCCTATAGCCCCCTTAAAGGTGTTCCAAAACTCCGTCAGAAGTGACTTCCTCAATTTCTTCGAAGAGTTCTTCCACCGGGGAATAATCCACAAAGCAATGAATGTGACCTTCATTACACTGGTCCCCAAGGTAGAAGGGGCTGAAGAGCTCAAGGACTTTCGCCCAATAAGCCTCATCAACTCCACTTACAAGATCCTCTCCAAAGTGCTCGCCTCATGGCACAAAGGTGTCCTTCCCAACATCATCTCCCTCACCCAAAGTGAATTCATTAAAGATAGACAGATCCTTACAAGGGCCCTGGTGGCACACGAATGCGTCCACTCCATGCATCTCACTAAGCGTCCGGGCCTCATCTTCAAAATCGATTGGAAGAAGGCATACGACCATGTGGATTGGACAATCTTGGACGAGACAATGAATCGTATGGGGTTCAGGGCTTGGTAGAGGAAATGGATCAAAGGTTGCTATTCCAGTCCCTTCTTCTCTGTACTCATCAACGGTACCCCAAAGGGCTATTTCCCAACGTCTAGAGACCTTTGTCAAGGAGATCCTCTCTCCCCTTTCCTTTTCACGATTTCAACAGAGGTTTTCAGCCAATCAATTTCAAGAATGTACCAGACAGAGCATCTCACCGACTTCAAGAGTAGCCCTAAGGGGACCAATCATCTCTCACCTACAGTATGTTGATGACACTCTCATCGTCTTTGACACAATTCCCCAAGAAATTGAAACCCTCTGCCACTTCCTTAAGCGCTTCAAGTTTGCCACGGGCTTTAAAGTGAACCTCGAAAAATCCACAATTTCGAGTTGCTCTCTCCTTGTCTGAGATCGGGTCCCTTGTCCTTGGATGGGGGTGTAAAGTGGAAGACCTACCAACTAGCTACCTAAGAATGCCACTAGGTCTCGAGAAGCCCAAAAAAAGACAATGGTCCCACATCATTGACAAAGTGGACTACCGTTTTGCAAGCTAGAAAGGACGTTTTCTTTCTTTTGTGGGAAGAACCACCCTCATCAAGGCCACCCTAGCCAACACCCCCGTCTACCTCATGTCCCACGTCCATATGCCAGAGGCGGTAGCCAATCGCCTAGAGCAACTCATGAGGAATTTCTTGTGGGCAGGAGACGCAACCACCAACAAATACCATCTTCTTGCTTGGGAGAAAGTCTGCCAAGCCAAACACCGTGGTAGTCTCGGCATTCATCTCCTAAAGAAACACAACACAACACTACTAGGGAAGTGGTAGTGGTGGTGGCGGTTGGCGACTCAAAAGAACCTCCTTTGGACACAAGTCGTATGGTGCAAGTATCGCATCCATAGAAGCACCTGGCTTCCTGCCGCAAACTCAACCACTAGATCCTCCTCCGAAGCCTGGAAGTCATTCTTATCCTCTCTAACTCTTTTCCAGAACAAAAATGGTTTCCATTCCAGGGTAGGACAACGAGTTCTTTTCTGGTCCAACCTCTGGTTAGGTCATACGCCCCTCAGAGAACTTTTCCTTGCCCTTTTCTACTTGGTCACTAAGCTCTCCTCTGTCGCGGAGGAAGTGCCCCTCTCGAGGTCACTCAGAGTCTAGAGTCCCTCCGTCAAGCAGCCCCTCTTTGACCTCGAAACCTCTGACTTCCTGACCCTGTCGTCCATGTTACACTCCACGTTTTTGCCCCACTCTGGCTCTGACAAAATCATTTAAACCCTTCACCCTCGGCAGGTTTTATGTTGCCTCTTTTTACAAGAAACTGCTGATGTCGCCTACTTTCCTTCTTGCACCTAGATCCATCGTTGCTCAGGCCTGGTCATCCATCACCCCACCCAAAGTTCAAGCCCTAACCTGGATCGCGATCTCGCAAAAGGCTCTCTCAATGGATCTTCTCCAGCATAGAGGGGTTTCCATCTCCAATCGTTGTGCGATGTGCCTCATGGATGAAGAAAGTAACCCCCACCTTTTCATCCATTGTCACCTTGCTCACAACTTGTGGAGCTCTCTGCTCCATCTCTTCGGCCTCTACTTGGTTACCGCTCCCTTGATCCCGACCCTGTGCCATCTCTCCCTCGAAACCCCGTGGCCCAAAGCAGGTAGGACCTTGTCGAAGGCATTCATAGCAGCACTGTTTCAAGTCATTTGAATAGAGAGAAATACCAGAATTTTTTGTGGGGTCAAAACCAAGGTTCTGGCCCTCTTCCATAAGATAACTGCCGCAGTGATCTTCTGGGCAACAAACCACAAGCTTTTCAAGGAACCCCCTCCATGACGTTCCTACTCCAATGGAGAAACCTTATCTACAATCACTCCCCAAGCCAGTCTAGGTCTTCTATCTGGTCCCCTCCACCTGAGGGCTAGACCAAACTCAATTTTGACGGATGCTCACTCGGCAATCCTGGCCCGGCAGACGTGGGAGGAGCCTTTCGAGATCACCTCGGGAATATTCTCTCTTCCTTCCCCAAGAACATTGGCTACGCAGACACACAGCTTGCTGAGTCTACGGCACTCCTATCTGGACTCAGACTTTTCGATCCCTCTTGGGGTCAACCCCTGATCATTGAAGGAGATGCTCAAAACATCATCATGTGGGCCTCTGGCTCCTCACCTTGCCCATGGTACCTCGCAACGATTTTTTATGAGATTACTCACATTTGCAAAGATATAGCCGTCTCATGGAGGCATATCTGGAGGGAGTCCAACACCTCGGCAGATCAGCTAGCTAGATATGGAGCGCTATCAACAG